TCCGGTCGGCGAAGCCGTGATGGGTCGTGGGTTTAAAACTTAAAATGTCGTGCTTAAATTTTTCTTTTGCGGAGAAGGAAGGCTGCGAAAGGTCGTAGCAGACTTGCGTCACGACGCAAATTGGAGTTGCCCAATATGGGCATACGGACGGGTCAGAGGCCATCCCCTCTCCTTCTCTTCTGAGGCTGAGAGGCGGGTCTGACGCCATCGAGGGGAGAAGGAGGCCGGGGGTCTGTCCCCCTTCCCCGGTAGTTCCTCGGGTGGAGCTTCGGGGCGGGACTACGCTCGCGAGTTTCCCCTCCTAAGGCCTCTACGGGCCAGGAAGATTCACCCCTTCGATTCGGAAACCACTCTTGTTGGCTCGGACAGGAGACGAGAGTCCGATGTGGACATGTCCGATGCGGATATGTCTGACGTGTCCGTCGTGACACACATCTCGGTCTCCTCTGTCTCCGCCTGCGGTGGGAGCGATTCCTCCGTCGGAGTGGGGCAGAGGAGGAAAAGAAAGACGGCGACGCGCGTCCAACTTTCTTCCGGGGATGAGGATCTGGATACCCCGGATCCCCAGACCCGAAAAAAGAAGAAACCGGGCCGTCCGGCAAAAACGGCCGAACATGAGAGGCAGTTTACTGCCCGCAAAATGCGGGAAAAGGAGCTGCTCAAGAAAAAGAAGCAGAACGCGGAACTCGCGCTCTCCATCATGGATGGAGCCGACGTCGATCCAACGACGACACGATTCCACCAACACGAGCGGGATCTTAAGCTCCAAGCGGAGCAATTTATGGACGCGCCTGTTCAGGAGGTACTGAACACCCTTACGGGCCAGGTGAAGGCCATAATGCAAGTGGGGGGCAAAGCTCCGGCATCCAGGGCACCCTTTAGGGGATCCTTTACCGCCTCCACACTTGAGGCGAGGGCCAAGGTTCTGGCGACCCGTACGCAAAAGAGATTTTACGACCCCTTGGCCGGCAGGGCCCCCTCCTACGTCAATGCGCAGGTGGAGGAAATGTTGGCGGCAAATCGCCGTCTGGAGGGGGAGCTCTGCGACCTCCGTAAAGAGATTGCGGAGATAAAGAGAACCTCCCCCCTCCCTCCCCTATCATTACACGGGCCAGAGCCAGATCTGCGGGGAAGGAGGAGGACGCGAAGGGGGATGTCAATATGGGGGGCCTGGAGGAGACTTTTCCCCCGGAACCCTCCCCCATAGTGGAGGTCTCCAGGGAAGACTTGGCGCGCTTCCCTGCCATAAGGCCCCCAATATTGGGGGTTAGTAAAGTGCTGGCAGATCACCCAATCCCGGTGATCACCAGTTACCATCGTATCCCCGGGGATGGGGACTTCGTCGGGAAAATCGCCAGCGAGGTCCTGAAAAGGGTGAAAAGGCCCCTCTTCGATACGATCGAGGAGACATTCAATAGAAGGTTTCCTTCCTTGCCTGACCCCCCCTCCCCTTTAAGTCCCCTAGCGCTTCGGGTCCCCCCTCCGTTAAGAGGGTGAATCCCCCCGCCGGGGATTCAAAGAAGGAGAAGGGAAAGAAGGGGAAGAAGAAGACGCCGACGCAGTCTGCCGCTGTGCGACAGCCTACTGCCAGCC